AACCGCCTGTTAGAAGAAACAACATGAGTATTAAAGAAGCAACCATTCCTGCCCTTCTAATGCTCATCACTGCAGCTCCAAACATTTCCCCTGCACCCTACTCAGATTTTTTTTTTTTAGGGCATCACAAAATCCTATTTTTTACACAAGATGTAGTAATTCAAAACATAATACTTATTTAAATAAAATACATAATGGTATCGTCAATAGCAGCTTTTTTTTTTTTTTTGAAAAAGCTTCTCACCTATTGTGAGAGCTTTTTCAACCAACGCTTACTCAATAGAACTTGTGAAATTACAAGCCTCGTAAGTTGCAAGCTCTTGTTAAAAGCTTTAAAATACAACAAAAATTATACTATTGTGGATGCTCTTAAGTCTTACCACTGAAAATCTCAACTATTGTTGAGATACATTTTGTGGATATATTTTGAGGAAAAAGCAATAACATGGAAAAACTATGCTATTGTGGATGCTCTTAAGTCTTACCACTGAAAATCTAATATGAATTAGAAAAAACTGAATTGTTATTAAAAATTGAGAAACATTGGGTTGGAGTCTAATATGAATTAGAAAAAACTGAATTGCTATTAAAAATTGAGATACATTGGGTTGGAGATGAATCATTATTTGCAGAAAAATACTAGTAAATCATTTTTGGTGGGTGTAACGGATTGGAGAATGGAGATGGATGTATATTTTAAATTTAAACTTACTTGGCTTGTTATGGCTATTAATAAGACTGCTGCCAATGTCATGAAGAAGCATTGCAGGGTTTTCTTGAATCCAACCATGAAATAAAGAATGGACATGAAAACAGTTGGGTAAGTAACGTGAGCAATCATGTCACACAACGTGCTGCACGCATAGTAGGCGCTCAGCCTATACATATCAGCCTTTCTTTCCTTCACCAGAAAGAACTTCTCAAATGGGAACACATACACCGCTCCAAATATCGATGAAGATGTCCAGAAAATGCACACATAGAACAACAACCCAATCTGCATACAACAGTTTTTTTTTTTTTTTTTTTTTAAAAAAAAAGGGAAATGTGGCTTCTTTTTGAGTAAATTACATTTTTCTTCTTTTGTGCTATTTTTTGGGATCAAAAGTAGTCATTACAAAAGAAAAAAAAAAAAAAAAAAAGTTAACTGGGACCAAAAATGTAATTTACTCTTTTTTAACTGACCTGATCTCTAAGGTGGGCCTCGGTGGCAAAGCTAGATTTCCACCATAGAAGCCCTAACAAGACTGCAACTCCAAGAGATTGAACTATTCTTAGCATATCAAAGTAATCTCTCCACCTTTCTCTGTATGTTCGCTTGAACAATATCAAAAACTGATCCCACCAACTTATCGTCCAATCTTTCTTCACTTGAATCGCTAATCTAAGATGTTCTGGTGCCTTCCCTGTTCTATGATGTGCTTCTTTCTCTTTCGTCTCCAGTTCACTTTTATACCTGTTTTGAACATACTACTTGCAAAAACTATTTGGTAAGTTATATATTTTTCGCAACGTTCCTTGGTCCCCCTTTTCAAAGTAAAATGACCATACATTTTCTAGTTTCTACACAAAAATTGCAAAACTCCGAGGAACAAAAACAGTCACTGTATTTGGAAAAGAGACACAACGTTACAAGAACACAATTCCAAGCAAAAACATTAGGGACCAAAAACTGAAAAGATCAGCTGTAATTTAGGGACCAACAACGTAACTTAGTCGAAAAATAGGTCTTACTTTGATGACGGCCTTCTCGTATTCACTAGTGCCTTTAGGAGTGACGATATCGTCAGGGGCAGTAATGTCATTTACTTGACCGGTTGCTAGATCTAGCAAAAACTCCGCGGGATTCATGGGTATATCGGGGATGAACCTTAGAGATGAAAAATAGCTCATTGATTCTCTTGCCTTTCCATAGTACATAGGATGGCCTTCTGATATCAATAAGATTTTGTCAAACATGTGAAACATTTTACTTGATGGTTGGTGGATTGTTGTGATGATTGTCCTCCCTGCCTGAATGCCATTAACAAAAATCTTCAATATTACAATAAATTACATTTTTCGTTCTTGAGAATAACTAATTTTTTCAATGTCGGTCCATAAAAGTTTTATCTTGCAATTTTGGCTTTTTTATTTGAGGTTTTTAGTCACTTTTTCAAGTAAAATGAATGTACATTACTATAATATACCAAGAAGCTCAAATAAGCCTAAAATTGCAAGAAACATGAATGTACATTCCTATAATATATGTTAGCAGTGGTTTAGGCGATCAATAATGCAATGTCACTTATCTTTCAAACATAAAAATATCACGTTAGCTTTTATAATTACTTCTCCATCAATGAAATGCCACCCATCTTTTAAAAATGATCCTCATTGCCACATTAACAATTACTTTATATTTTTCAACATATATCTTAAATATTAACCATTAATAGTTAATCAATAATAAATAAATATAAATTTAATTATAAAATAATAAATTTACATAATTATGCATGTTTATCATATATACAGTTAATTATTCTTTTTATCCCTATTGATCGTAGTAGTATTTATATTTATATAATTGAATATGTTAATGAAATTTAAAGTAAAAAAGTGTAATATTAACTTTTCTTTTTATAGCCTTGATCTGTTAAAATCTACATATGCGTATGTTAATAAAATTTAAAGTAAAAGAGTGAAAAAAAAAAAAAAAATGCAATCATTAATTGTGTTTGAAAGGCTTTCAAATATAGAAAGACCAATCCAACGTGTCTTGCAATAAATTGAAACAATTGAATTTGAAAGAAGCCATGTGGAGGCTCGTAGTACCTTGGCATTTTCTCTGAGAATCTGTATAAGTTTATTTGCTGATGTTGAATCAAGGCCTGAAGTTGGTTCATCAAGCAACAAAAGTGAAGGATCAACGAGGATCTCGTATCCTATGCTCGTACGTTTCCTTTCACCCCCCGAAATGCCACTAATAAATCCTCCTCCTACTCGTGTCTTACGACATCTTTTATTCATTTTTCAGATGATAACAAAATTAACTAGTAAGGAAAACATTAATACGTATATGTATATTCCTTCCTTTTTTATTTTTTCATAATCGCTGGTATTATTTATATAATTGGAAGTATAAACCAACCTTTCAAGTCCTAATTCCTTAAGAATGACCTCCACTCTTTCGTATTTCTGCCTTTGGCTCATGCTGCCCGAAAGCCTTAAAAATGCAGCGAAAATCAAAGTTTCCTCCACTGTTAATTGCGGGTAGAGCACGTCATCTTGTGTCACAAATCCAATCCTGTATATAAACTCAGCAAACATATATCAAATTTTTAATTTTCTACTTCAATGGAGTTATTATATTGGGTATAGCTAAAAGCCTAATAATTAAGCAGTCTAAGATTATCTTCATTTTATTGATGACCAATGCTGTAGTTTGCCGACAAGATACAATTAATTCTTTAATAAAAAGAAAAGATAACAAATTTTTACAATCTCAATTCTCAAACCAAACCAAAAAAGTGAACCCATCTCAATATGAATTCGGCTAATATTTTTTTTTTTAAAAGCACAAAACAAACAAACAAACGTATGAAATTCAGATTTATTTTATTTTCTGTACAAATAGGCACGACTATAATTTTGTATTTTATTTCAACTTTTTCTCATATTTAAAAAATATTGATTTAGTTTGTTTTGTAATAAAATATGTTTTGTACAATAAAAATTAACTATAGACAATATTTAGAGTAAATTACATTTATGATTCCCAAGTATAGATGATTTTTTCAATTTTGGTTCCAAAAAACTTTTCTTACAATGTTTGTCCTTGCAAGAAATGACTAATGTTTTTACCAAAGTTATACACCCAAGGACAAACATAGTCAATTACTTGGATCATAGACAAAAGCAAGAACCAAAATGGTAACAGAAAATTTTTTGAAACTAAAAATGTAAAAACCAATTATACTACCAAAAATGTAAATTTGTTGGGATTAGATTAGGCCGTTAAGGCGTTAAAAGATTTGATTTAGCTGATTGTGGATGTGGAAAAATATATATACTTATTATTATTTTATTTTTTTTTAAAAGCTGCGTAGAATAAGATAGTGAACAATAGGGTAACACCTTCTTTTAAGAGCTGGGCTGTAGGGAACATCATTATAAGTGACAGTTCCCTTGACGTTTTCACCTAATCTCCCGCCTATCACCTTCAACAGCGTTGTTTTTCCACTACCGGAAGGACCCATCAAAGCCAGGATTTCACCGGGGCCAAGGCTTCCAGTTATGCCTTTCAAAATCTGCTTATAATTGTTGTCTTCTTCACTCTTCCCCTGCAAAACCACCTTCGACATCACCGCCTTCACTGGATTCCCAGGTGTCGCCTTGCTCACTTTCACCTTAAACTCGATATCTTCAAACTGCATTCAAAATAACAACCACCTTCACATATCTCATATCTGATCATAACAAATTACAAGTGTTTGTGTTAGAGAAGTTCACTGATGATGCATTTCGTGGAACACCTTTAGGAAAATGGGAAGTGGACGATCTTTGATAGGGAAGGCGTCATCTTGGATATCGATCTGAGAGCTTGATCTGTTTCTAAGGTAAGTCTGAGCAGCCATTAAATCCAAGTTATGAACAAACCCATTGTTGCCTGTTATGTGCATGGGACCTACTGGAGGAGGAGATAAACATGACAAATCCTCGATTTCATCTTGGCTCCCGGAATCCATGATAGGATTATGCAACCGAGTGTCTTCTTAAATTAATGGGGTTTGTACATCTAAATTCTTTCAACTAAAAACATAACAAGATCAATCCTATATAGTCTCTTCGATTTCGCTGTTGAACAGCATGTCAACAATTTTTAGCTGCAAAAAGATTTGCGAATTTGTAGTTGTAACACACCCTTGGCGCACCAATCTGACCAACTACACTTAAACTTCATCATGTCAAGAACATGATCTTCACAAATGTTTTTTTTTTTTTTTTTTTTTTTGCCAAATGGAGGGAAATAACATATTGTAGGGTTAATTTTATAAACGGCTAACAAAGTATTTTTGTCCAAAAAACATACCAAAGTTCGTTTATGACTTTAACCTTGTTTTATCTATTACTCTTATTTTTGTCAATATAGACCTTTTGATAATAGCAATATGTAACATGAAACTTGTGAAATCTTTTAGTATGGTTGATTATATAATGCTATTAACGCTATAGAAAATTAAGTTTGTTATTATGAATAAATAAATGTAATTATGTTGATGTTATGAGTATAAAGTACGTTTTGTAAGCTTCATTTGCATATTGTAATCATTTGAAGACCCTGACCGTGTCAAGAACTCAATATAATTTTGTTTTTTGCCCAAAAAAAAGTAGAGGGGTTAGAGTTGACAATATTGAATCGTAAAAACAATGTAGTTGGGTAAATAGGTCAGAATAAGTCAATAACATAGAGTGATGATGGAAACAAGATGATTCCTGGATTGTTGAGTGTGTAATCGTAATCTGCCTCTGAGAGAGTGGGAGAGATATGGAAGAATCGCAAGAGATTTTGTTGAATTCGCTGGCGAAAGCTGGGGTTGCGATTCCGCGGGAGGCTTTGTCAGTTGGAGATCTAACACCGGAAGCGTTGGTGTCGATCTGTGCTCATTCTCTTCGTATAATTTCGAGCTCGGAATCCTTTCCGATCACTTTGCCGGATTCTATGGTCGATCGTTTTAAAATCTGCACCGATCTTGCCTCATCCGTCAAAGACCTAGGTTACATCGGCGACATGAGCTTCCATAAGGTACTATTCTATTCTCTTATCCATCCTCTCAGCAGCTAACTATAAGCTCATCCGATTTATATTGCTCTTTGACTTTTTTTACTGGATGCATTTTGAATACTCGTTTTTTTTCTCTTATTCATTGTTGTGTTGGATCTATTCAATGTTTTACGTACTAATTCAAGTTTTGTGAGTGGTTCCGTTTGAAAGAGATTCCTAGAGGCAGTATTCCTATTTTTTTCCCTTGTGACTTGTGAGAAAAAATTTACAAATTAGATTTTGACGTCGACTTCAAAATTAATATACAATGCCAAGAAATTCATAGTTAACTGCTCATTAGAACTAGTCAACGACTTCCAGAAAATTCTAGAATTAATTTGTGACAAAATTCATATCAATTTGCATCATAGAAGCTGATAGTGTTATCCTAAAGGTGAAAGTGATTCAGTGTAATAATTCAATCATTGGTGTCGTGAATATAATATACATGTACCCTTACTATATATGATATATGATTCTGTAATAATGTGAAAGAATAAACAAAGAAGTTAATTGTTTGTTTTCATATCATGTAGCATTACAATATATGATTGTTGATTCTGTAAACCATGTGGAATAATAGGCAAAAAAGTAACCTGTTGATACTAGAGATAGAAACGCCCAAATTTGAGTATGGATGTATGCTCATATGGTTTTGCTAGTTTATAATGATGTTATTAATGAAAGTAGATAAGTATATTATTATATAATTATTGTTCTGAAATATTCTTAGAAAGAGAATATATCTCTTGCTTACGGCAGTTCCTGTATCCATCCGAAGAAGACATGTATAGGTTGATAAGATTTTTGGTTGGGAAGCTCTCTGAATCATCTACAACTGCAGTATTATTAAACACAAAGGATAATAATGCACAAGTAATGATAAATGATGAAAAATCAGAAAGATCATCCAATGATGAGGAACAAGATTTGCATACCAAATTCGAAGGCGTAAAACTGAGAACTGAAGAAGCGGTGTCAAATTCAATTCAATATCCTGAAGAAGATTTTGGAGCTCATGATTTGTTGAAAGCAGCAGTGGAAATGGCTTGTGATGAACAACACATCGATTCACACATTACACAGCTAAATGAGCAAATAGACGCAAGGAAAACCAATCTTGCAAAACTGGAGTCAAAATGGTAACAGAGAAACACTCTTGTTTCTCATGATGATCTTGATTTAATTATAATAGAGTGTTTATCTACTACAGGAAAGCCATCATAAAGCCTTTAGAAGATAAAAAAAGAAATCTTGAAGAAGCTCTATGTGCAAATCAGCCAGAGTCTCAAGACCTGGAGTCCATATTGTTTGAAACAAAGCAGAGGTAAAGTAACATCCACTACAGTGCTTGTGCTTGTTTGTATGAAATTCTCAACAGGCCTTTCTGAGCACTCTTGATATTTTGTTAGATTAAATCACATTTTTGGTCCCTGGGTATAGCTGATTTTTTTTTTTCCAATTTTGGTCCCAAAAAGTTCTTTTGCAATTTTGTTCCTTATTTGAGATTCTTGTAATGTTTTTTGTACCTATTCCAACTCAAATTACTAATTTTGGTCCCTGGATATAGTTTTTATTTTTTTCCCATTTTGGTTCCAAAAAGTTCTGGTGAAAATTTGGTGCTTAATTGAGGTTATTGTATCCTTCATTTTATTGCTGTTCCAAGTAATAATACTATTTTGGTGCCTGTGTATTGCTGATTTTTTTCAATTTTGGACCCTATTGTAAATAATTTTACTTGGAATAATGCACAAAAACCTCAAAATAAGGACCAAAATTGAAAAAACAAGCTATCTTCAGGGACCAAAAATGTAACTTAGTAGTATTGTTGTAACTTAGGGAAGAGGAAATTTCCAAGGTGTCGAGAGAAGTTGAGAAAGTAGCGAAATTGGCAACAAGGAGATCTTACATTGAACGGATAAAAGAGATCACCAAAAATAGCAGGAAACAGGAGATTGACATAGAACGTATCTTAAAAGAGACCCGAGAGCTTCAGTTGGAAAGTAACATCATTCAAGAACGCCTGCATCGAACTTATGCTGTGGTGGATGAGACACTACTCAGGTAATCATATGTTATAAACTTATAATTAATTAATTTTTATAGTAAATTAGATATTTGGTCCACAAGTATTGTCAAATTTCCAACTTTGGTGCTAAAAAGTTTCTTCTTGCAAATCCGGTACTTATTTGAGGGCAAGAGAACTTTTTGACTCTTTAACTAATTATATCAAGAGTAAATTGCATTTTTTTTCTCTTGCAATTTTGGAAGTTATTGTAACTTTTTTGGTCACTGTTGTAAGTAAAATAACTGTTTTTTGTCCTGGGATATAGCTGAATTTTGGTTCCAAAGCCAGTCATTTTACTTGGCAGAAGGAGAAAAACCTTTGGTATAAAGACCAAAATTGCAAGAGAAAACATTCTAGTGATATGAATTTGGAAAGTGAAATGATTGTCCGTTTTGTTTTGTAGGGAAGCAAAGAAGGATCAAGTGGGGGAACAAGCACACATTTTGGTGACAGGTATCCACGAGAGTTTTGAAGAAATATCTGAAAAGATCCTTGCAACTGACAGAGCTCGTAGAGAAATGACAGACCTTGAAACTAAGCTTTCAAGTATTGCTACACGAACTTTAAATATCCACAAACTACAGGCAGATCTTGATGCCATAAGGAAGGAAAACGACTACCTTCAATCTCAATCTTAAATCTTCAAACCTCCTCAGTCTACTTTTTTCAACACTGTTCTCATCAATTCTATATCGCTTTAGTTTCCTTTCTGGTAGCCCATTTATTGCCTTTTTCAACTACTATTCATGACCTACACAATCAAACCTCGCTTTAAATAATAAAATATAATCAAAATTATGAAGAGCTTTGTAAATTCACAAGCAAACTTATATGATGACAATAGTTATTTGACCCAAAAACTTTCTAATAACCTCTTATTGTCGTCATCTCTTTCTGTCTATTTGACCCCAAGGATTTCCCACTTTTTAGGAAATAAGTTGGAATTTATAATTTTGGGTTAATTGCTTAAATAATGTAACAATGTTTCATCTTTTTTACAATTTATGCACCAATCAATTATCTCATGTTGCTTCCAAGAACCAACCATATGTTTTATTAATCTTTGAACAAATTGTAGGATGTTAATAGGTATCTCTCTGGAAAAACAAATGGAAGGATCAAAGTATTTAAGGGTTACAATGAGATTGTTCATTTACAACATTTAATTGACAAAAAAAACATGAAAGTACAAATCGGTGTTATTTTGTTTTAAAAAAATTGGGGATATATTCATCTTTTTAAACAGTTGGTAAACTTATACTTATTATTTTATAAAATATAAAAAGTATAAATGATGAATTATAAATGGTTATTCACTTTATTACTAAATATACATTTCCATTTAAAAAATTTAATATTCATGTTATTAAATGTACGCCCCCCTCAATTACTTATTGTACATCCTTTGATTTGATGGTTTTTGTTGATCAAAAAAAACAAAAAGCTTATATTGAAAAAACTACTTGATTTGTCAAGATTTCATTGTTCGTATACATATTTTTTTTCCGGCCACAAATAAGAAGCAGCAATCCATCCTTGATGTTCTCAAAATACATAACAAATAAAACAACATCGATTAAGATCCATCCCGGATGTGCTAGCAAGCAACAACCTCAGGTGTTTTCTTTTATTTTCAAAATAACTAAGAGTATATGGTGTCAAACAATCAGATTCATAGTTAATTATATAAAAACATGCTATCATATAGAATGTTTAACCAACTAAAGGAAGACAAATCTGAGCTTGGGTCATGGTCTTAATCGATTAAGAGCTTAAATGGGAAAGTTGGCCAAGTTGATGAGTACGCGGGGCGTAAAAGCATGTACGTTGCACGTACAAGCCCTTTAAGCAGTACGCTGAGTGCACATGCTGAGTACGCCCCGCGTACTCGGAAAGGTGGGTTTTTTTTGTTTGGGCTTCGATTTTGGGCTAAGGTGGGCTTGGTTGTCTTGGGCCATGTTGGGCGATCAGAGTTCTTTAGTTGGGTTGTTGAGGTTTTGTTGGAATCTCTTAGGAGGCCCATGAAAGGGATTAGGCCCAATTTGGAAATTTTGGCTATATTTGGGCTTGGATGATTATTTTGGATTTTGGGCTTTTTGGACAATTGGATTAGGCCTTCGCCTTAGGCCAAGTTAGAGGAGGGGTAAAAAGGTATTTTACCCTGATTTGGACTCTTAGTGTGAGTCAGAACACAGTTATTAATTGGATTTTATTTTGGTAATTGATAGCGCGGGGATTTAGCGGATCTGCAGTCAGATATTATCTGTGGGTTTCGGCTGTCTGATGTGAATCTCCTCACTGTATTGTGGGTCGAAGGCACCAATGTTGGCACATTGGCTTATTTTATTGGAAACTCATGGGGTGGCTGTAATGCCCGAGAGTTTGGCTAGACGTTAAGAGTATAATAATAAATATTTGTTTTATCAAATAATTAAAATCCTCAAATAGGATAAATTTTCTCCGTATGCATTAGAGGTTATATAAATACTTATTTATTATATATGTGTTATGTGGACAAATATTATGGGTATGTAATATTTGTAGAAATTTTGTTATAAACTTATCGAAAAGTAATAAAACAATATTTTTAAATAGAATATTATTTAAGATGAATAATCTTAACAAAAATTGTAACGATTGTAAAATTTCAAACTATATAAGACGCATTTAGTCTAAAAACATTTAAGGGTGAACCTAAGTAGTGAAACAATAATTTTTCCGTTACAGACGTTTCTCGATAATAATTGACTGGGTACTTTTTACGACGTTAGTTATTGATTATAATTTTGATAAAATTTTATTATAAAGGGTATAATGATTTTATTAATAAATAGTTAAGGGGCTATAGTGTAAATTGAATGATATATTGTGTTAATACAAGAATAACTGAGGGATCATAAATGTAACTATAATTTGTAAATTGCAAACCAACATAAGTGTAAGAAATATAAGAAAGGTCGTACATATTTTATTAATTAAAAATAACACGTGTTGTTTAAATATGTGATCGTACAATAAAAATGCATTACGTGTTTATTTAGAGGGACATGTGTTAACTCTTGAGATATCGTGTCACTAGTGTCGATGATTAAGCATTTAGATTGTACGGAGGATAATCAAATTTTGAGTATAAATAGGCAAACGATCAATAGTTTCTATAAAACAAATAAATATATCATAAAGAAGTTTCGAGAGACCAATACGTATAAAAATAGATAAGGTTTCGGCAAGATAATAAGTTAGAAATCTGTGTTAAACTTGATGTCACGACAATAGTTAGTATGCACTAACTAGTCAAGTGAGTGCATAGTTACTTTAATCTTACACATGGATATGAAGTATTTAATATAAATTACGTGTTATGTATGCATATTATTTGTGTTCCTGATATCTATGTTGGATGAATGATTTATACATGTTTTAAATGATTTAAGTTGTATATGTATTTTATATCTATGAATATGTTGGGTAGAAAGCATGGGTAGATAAATAATGAAGTATGAAAGATGATATAGATGAATATTGACAGTTGCACCATAACCTGTAGATGTTTTTGATTTACGTGTTCACCAGATGTACTCTAAATATCCTGGCAGTTGCGCCTAATGGATAATATTGGTAGTTGTGCCTAATAGATACATCATAATCCTGACAGTTGTGTTTAAAGGATAATATCAGCAGTTGAGCCTAATAGATACATTATAATCCTGCCAGTTGCGCCTAAAGGATAATATTGGCAGCTGAGCCTAATAGATACAACATAATCCTGGCAAATGCGCCTAAAGGATAATATCGGCAGTTGCGCCTAATAGAGAACGTCATAATCCTGGTAGTTGCGCCTAAATGATAATATTAGCATTTGTGTCATAGGCAACGATGGACTTCGTGCCTATTCCTTAGGAGAATCTTTAGGAATGAAAAAGTGAATGATAGATGATTCGTAGGATAGATCCTTAAGAATAAAGAAGACAATGGGGATGGATAATTAGGTTGATTGTTTGATGATTAAATATAATAATTACATTATTATGGGTTGAAAACCCTATGTACTCACCAGGTTTTCCAACCTTACCCACTCAGTTTATTTGTATCACAGGTGTCAATAAAAAGCTATACTACACCGAGAGATTAAGAAGATGAAAATCACTAGTGTAAATGAAAGTAATGTCTGTTTATGTTTATGTTTCTGTATTGAGGATGACATCCTAAAGTTTTAGTATAAACAAAATACATTTCTTCGGAAATGTTTTGATAATATGTTTATCACGTTTTTCTAGGAACAAATTTTGCAACACATTTCTTTAAAATGGATACTCTGATTTTTCAAATAAGCATAAATAAATTTTTTTTAAATGACCGTCAATTTGGGGATGTCACAGTGGCCCTTGGAATTTGTATGAACGACCTAGAGGTGGCTCCTAGAAAATATGTATGCAAGACCAGGGTTCGGACCCTAGCAATTAAGTAAATAGTTAGTTGTAGATTGTATGTTTGTTATCTTTGTGATGCTTGCATGGAAGACCATGAGGTGGCTCCTGGCACTTATCTGTAAGACCCAGGGTATTGGCCTTGGCTTGGCAAGGAAATATCGTGATACGGCTCGTGGCATAATGGCAAGACTATGGTTGGTACATAGCACCTTTTATCGCATGTATGATTCATTTGATATGTATAGTATGTGCTATTTTGGGGAACTCACTAAGCTTTGTGCTTACAGTTTGTTGTTTATGGTTTCAGGTACTTCTGGTTTAAAAGGGAAGGGATCGGCTTGATCGTAGTACATACACCCATATTTTTCCGCAACTTAGTGATTTTAGGATTTTACTCTGATAACTATTTAATTATGATTTACTTTTAAATGTTTGAGTAAAAGATAATCGGTGTTATGATCATGTTGAAAATATAATTTTTACCTTGATATTTTAGGACGTTACAAGTTGGTATCAGAGCCTTGGTCTGAGGAATTCGGGCATACTCTCGGTTGTGTCTGAACTCAAACTAAGGGTTTGGTGAAGTTTTCATAAAATAAATGTTTTATAAAGGGGGTTTCTAATAAAAGAAAGGGGTATGATGCTTGCAATCGGCCGAGCTCAAGTAAGTGATTCCCAGAATACCCATACATGTTTATTATGACTATGAGAATTGCATGTTAGATTAGGGCTAAGGATCTGCTCAGGATTTTATGGTAGGAGAGATGCCTTTATATGCTTGATTGTATGAACTTTTAGGATTGCATGCTTGTATGGTTTTCAGATAAGTGGATACAACGGCTTGATTAGTGATATCCTGATTACATTTTTCGTTGCCCGAATGCTGCTTGTTTTGTGCTTTGTGAGACTCTTAGTGATGTGGACCAGCCACTAAGTGAATATGTTAAGTCACATGTTGAACAAGTTAAATAATCTCAAAGTGATGGATTTGGTCCTATTGTGCAGCTCTCGTTTGAGTCCAACCGTTCTATGGTTGATTCTTTTAGTCGAAGGATTATTTGATCTCTGTTGCATGTGACTATATTCATGGGATAGTTGGTCAACATTGGTGGGAGTCTTTTAGCAGCTGATGGCAAGGTGAGGTCAGGGAGCCTAGGGAGTACTTCAATGGGTTTAGTCGCATTGTTTGGCGGTCATTTGGAGTATCAGTTTGAGAATGTGACTTGGAGAATTTGGGATAATTCTTGAGGAAAGTATGGATAGGTGTGCAAGGTAGTATTGGGTCGGTACTACTGAAAGCATAGGATCCATACTCGAATCATGGAGAGTCTTGGAGGATCTAGGAATCCTATAGGATGAGGATTTTTGGGTATGTTCTGATCATTTTCATGTGGTTTTTCAGTTTAGTGATGAGCACTCAGGAAGGAGGTTCGGGGTTTGGTTTCGGCTCAGGTGTAGGTGCTTCATGCTTCATGCTTGTGTGAAGTGATTGTTTCAGGGGTCTCGCAGATAATACGCAAAGTGATGTCGGATATTCTTACAATGATTAGGGAGGAACTAGTTGTAGTACCCAACGAGATGTGTGAAATTGCACAATTAGTTGTAGGACCTGGAAAGTCAAGATCTAAGAGCATAATTGACATTGTCATAAATGCATGTCAGAAAAGGAATCAAGTGTTTAGCACATGATAGATTTCGGAGATGGAAGGTGCTTTTCACGTTAGCTTTTGCTCGGAGGAGGCAAGAGTACGGTTCGTCATGAACCTCTTACGAGACTCTACAAAGGATTTGTAGGATCGGATCGCTCAGTTAGTTACAATAATTGAGATGGAGACAATGACATGGGAAGAGTTTACGCTTCGAATTTGGAGAATGGTATGATTCATCAAACGAAAAAGGTGGTGTCGGTGATGGTTATCTTCAACAAACAAATTGGTGGATTTTATTTTCATCCGACCGGTGGTGGTGGTGATGATATTTGCTTTTTCTAAAGTTTAGAATGAAAAAGGGTGGCGTTCATGTGAAAACAACAATGTTCCGGCAAGGGTTTTCAGATCGACGTTTCGGTAAGTGGTGGTAGTGGTTCATATTTTTCTAGCGGAGTTCAGTAAACACGTTACAAAGGCAATGAAGTTCAAATCGACACAGAGATTCCGACGACGACATTCAAATCTATGTCGTCGACAGCGACGTAGATGCAACTGAACGTTGAAGATCCAGTGTCGGATGTTCAGATTTATGTCATCAGTGGTAATGTTGATGGTCTGGCGAAAAGGGGCATCTCCGATGAATAGGGTGGTCTGGTAGGCTGAGGGAGCTTGTATGTAATGGTAGTGATCCGACAATAATGGTTGGCTGATATGTAGACAATGTACTTAAGAATGAATGGTGGGTTGGGAATATTTGTTTTTTGTTTTTCTTTTAGTTTGAAAAATATTAAAATAAATAAATTATAAAATACCAAGGGCAAACTCAACATCATTAATAATAATAATAACAATAATAATTTCAGAAAAAAATAAAATCAAACTCGCAACAAAATTTTTGGACAAAAATAACAGATTTCAATAAACTACAGGGACCATTTTTGCAATTTTGTTGTTTTTTATACAATTTATGATGTTTTGTTATTAGGGTTGTTTTTAATTTGATGGTAGGTTGATCTGGAAAATGTGACCAATAACTATAATTTTCTTGATAAGTTTAATGTCACCAGGTGTCTTGTCCTTTAAAACAACTCCACTGCAAATGCAATTCTCATCTATGCCATTCATAGGTCCGGAGGTTTAGCTATGCGGTGAGCCAAAAATCAAAATCTTTTCCACCAACCAACTCACATCACATACAATAAATCCAAAAAATGAGTGTAGCTCCTAGTAAGCTAGTAGGTGTGGATGTGGTAAGGGTTGCTGTTTGCGACTTCAACCGTGGCAAACTCTCTCTCTCTCTCTCTCTCTCTCTCTCTCTCTCTCTCTCTCTCTCTCTCTCTCTCAATTCTTGTCCATACTTTAAAAATAGATGCAACACCACTATCCTATGTGGAACTAAGGTGGAGAGTCTTTGCCATTGATTTTGTTGGTATTGTAGCGAAGCCACACACATTGTGCTACAAATCAAGGTTTTTCAAGCCTTGAAGGTGGTCTGAAGAGCTACATTGGCAAGTAGAAGCTATTATGTGAATTCAAGACATGTGTGGTCCTCCTTGGAGGGTATTTAAATGGTGTTGGTTGGATTGCAATAAATATGTGGGATGAAGGAAAAGAAAAAGCAACAAGATATAATATTATGATGACCTTCCAAAGAAAATGAAAAAGATTTTGATGTTAATGGTAATGGTAATGGTGGGTGTGTATCCGGGTGACAAGTTGTAAATTTTCAGTCTGTATGGAACATGGTCTAGTCTAAAGTCTAAAGTCTTAAAGTCTAAACAGAGCAGGCAGGGAATTTTTGTATATATACACTCAGTCAGTCTTAGTCTTAGTCTTAGTCGAATCATCATCATCCCCCGAAAATATAATTCTATTTGGCCTCCAGTTGTTCCAAAAATAAACCTGAATATGACGAAATAATAAAAGCTGATCATCCATCAACTTGTCTGTCTCTATCTCTATGCAGTGGCAGCGATGTGTTGTTGTTCCAGTTATGCTGAGGTGGTGGTTCGATTGTAGTAGCAGACGACTGAGATTGATACATCAGTGGAAGTGGTATCCCTGGCTGTACATTACAAGTAGAAGTAGATTGATACTGATATTGATATATGCCACCACCCCCATGTCCTTGAGCTTGAGCTTGAGCTTGAGGAACAAAGTTGTAAAAATAATTCGGCACTACCTCTCTACCCCAAACTTCACCCTGTATCTGTATGTAAACATAACAACCAAACCACCCATTATATTGCTTGATTAATAATAAATAAATAAATAAAAGGGGGGGTTTTGTTATATTTAAGTAACCGGTCAATTTTTTTTCATTAAAACAAGAAAAGTGACTAAAATAACCTGTTGAAGTGGTGGGTGAAGGTTGCTGTCTTTTTGTTGAGATTGAGAAACAGTAACATCTTCATCATTACTTCCTTGTTTGAGCTGAGGAACAGGGAGTTTGATCCCTGTAGGTGGTGGTGGTGGTGGTGGTGTTGATGTAGGTGGTGGTTGGTGAGTAGGGAATACACCATGAGCATGAGCATGGTTGAACAAGTGAGCATTTTGTGGTAAATAAAAATGTGGGAAATAAGGATTATAAGGGATATAACTTGGAAATACTTGTCTGAAATAGGGAAAAACAGGAGGAGGAGGAGGTGGTGGGGACAATGATATTGGAAGCTGTGCTACTACTCCTACTCCTACTGTTGCAGATTGTGTTTGACCTACTCCAGATGTAACCACAGAGCCCCCACTCCCACTCTGACTCTGCATGCATGCATTCATATATATTATTTATTTATTTATTTATTTATTTATTATAAACAATGTAAAATAAGGATCAAAAACATGTATATCTACACCAAAATAACACATGAATCGGTAAAAAAGGTTCAGCTCAACATTTGAAATTTAGTGCTATTAATTAGATAGTTTGTTTTGTTGCATTGCATATATTATATGAAATCTATGTCATTAAATAACCACAGAGATGAAAAGCCACTTGCCTGGAGCTCAGGTACATCAACATGTACAAAATGTGGGCCCGGGCCCATCAGATGTGGCATATAACCAAAACTGTAGTCCCTTTGAAACACTGGATTCTGAAATCCTAACGGAGGCATCATCATCTTCACCTCCACCTTTTTTGTCTCATCATGTTTTAAAGCAGAAGCAGATGAGATGTCATCCTCTTTTAAAGAAGAAGCTTCTGGGACAACATCCAAACTTCCAAATGTGAACTGACTTTTAAAATTTTCAGGGACTTGGAGATGATCAGGGAAAATAACAGCCTGATAGCTTGCCTTTTCACCACCACCAGATACCTTCAACTCTGATTTTTCTTCACGGATCCAATGTGTATTGTCCCTATGCTCACACCCATTCACTGTAACAAACTTATAACACCATTCAATAACTTGTAAAATATTTTACTTTGTTGTTTATCATTTTTTGTCTGCTTACGATTTTTCTATCTTTTTATATGAAACCATGGGAAGGAAAAAGGTTGAAACTTCTCACAAGGAACTCAATCTGTAACTTTAGACATACCCTTCAGCAACTTACTCTTATTCACTAATTGTGATTTTGTTAACTAGCCATTAAAACAGTTGGGTTCCTACTGATTTTGTTTTGTTATCTGGTGGGACCCAACATCAAGTAAGGCAAATTCAATCTAATACTATCTGAAACTATATGATTCATGTTTACACCCAGTTCAAAACATATATTACCATACATATTTAGCATGAATTTTTTAAGAAAAAAATTGGAAACACCATCAAGGAATAAAAAGCTACTCAGCCAAGAATATTACCTTTTACAGGCTCATGTAATAATTGAGGAGGCTGGTTATCATGATTGGGACTGACAGCTGATAAAGAAAGAGGCTTCAGAGACTCAGAGATCTCAATTCCTTCAACTACATCAGACTTTAGTTGTCTTACTTTGTCAGAATCTGCAGCTTCTACAATGACCGGAATGGAATCAGCACTGACCTTAATTCCAGTTCCAGCTGGAAGTCTGGAATTTGATTTAGTAGAGCCACTGCGTTTTACAATCTCACATTGTATAGTACCAACAGCACAAGTGTTCTTAGAGGAAACCACCACAATATCTGAAGTAGAAGATGATTCAGGTGCAAGTGCAACCTTATCACTGTAGCTCCCATTAGATACAGCCAATGTACCATTGCCATTGGCAACAGAACTGCAAAAACAGTAAAGAAAGTTACAATTTACAACTGCAAATGTATCAATAGCAACAACAAATAGGTGCAGGGGATGAAATTTACTTTGCCACATGTGCACCATTGTTTACTTTTCCAGAATCAACTGGAATGATCTGCCTTGAAACCCTCTCTTGGCGATTAGTAACACCATATTCCTTCCCTGAACTCAAGTTTCTCCGCCATTGATTACCCTGTGTCCGTTTATAATCTTCAGACGTATCACTGCTTATCTGAATTAAATAGCAGAAACAACTTAATGAGTTGTCGTTTCATCAAGAAAACTACAAGGTTTTTGTATCGAAAGCCCAATCTATTGCATAACTTACAGATTTACGCCGATCATGTTTCTTTTTAACTTCATGAAAAGTGTCTGCAAAGGCAAAGCAATAAGTCAATAACTATAACTTTCAGCAAAATAAGCTGGTCAAAAGTCTCGCAATATAGAACATCGAATATAACTAGTTTAAAAATACATAAACAAGTTATGAATTAAATGATTGAAAACACAATGCAGTGCGGATAGGTCCAAAACTGCCTATCGATCAAATATAAGAACCCTGATTCAGCTGCATACGTTGAAACAGACACTACAACAGTGATTATGTTACTTCTATCTTAGACATGCAAACAGTTACTGAAAGAAAGATAAAACAGTTTGTTAGGGTTTTTTTACCGATATATAAGAGCCTCTGAGCAGCTTCGTTAGGATCCATGTTGCAGTCTTTGAGCATTGTGTAGACATCCTCTACGTTGTGCTTCCCAGCGATCTCTATGATATCATGAATCATCTTCAATCTCCGGCTAGCTTCCTTAGGATCCATATCACAGTCTTTGAGCGTTGTGTACACGAACTCATCGCTGTGTTTGGATCCTATGGTCTTTTTGATTTCTTGAATTACCTTCCGAGCGTTGTGCGGAATCGAAACCCTAGTGACGCCGCCGCCGCTCATGGTGAAAAAGCGAGGCCAACAAGGCGCTCGTAGGAGAGAGGGGAATAATGGGCGACTGAAAGGGGAATGATATTGGGAAGATTGGCGGTTTTGCCTAAATCAAAACTGCCTCGGAAAAGGGTAATAATATCTTTTAAGATCCTGAATTTATGAATATTTATCATACGAATTCAAACTTTCAATCCTCCCTTAATACAAAACATGTAATCAATTTAATTGGCCTTCCAAGATGTTTATAAAAAAATTAGGGATATTAATAAAATTAAACTTATATAAGTTTTTGCGTTTTGTTAAATGAACAATATGTTCGGAATGAGTATATTTTGAACTATTACGTCATTCGTCCCTCGTGCACATGCCAGAAAGCGTGTTTAGTTCCTATTTTCAAAAATTAACTCGGAACGTCCCTCATTTGGTTAATAGTTGCATGCTACATCCGTCATTAGTTTTAATTTGCGAGCTACATCCCTTGCGAGACCTAAAATGACAATTATGCCCTTTTATATTTCTTTTCCATTTTACTTAATGTTATAATTAATATTTTTTAATTTAAAAATAAAAGAAAAAATAATATGGCCCCATTTCAAGCCCCCACCCCAACAAATCATCGGATGAACACCACTTGTATCTCTCAAACACCATACATCCATCGCCAACTTCCTAATTCAACCCTTCTTCATCAAACATATACCTTATAACACCTTAAAACCCACCACCAGCTTCCTACCTCCTCCTTTTTCGGGTTACATCACCATCGGACACCCTTGTTGCACCCATGTTCATCATCACAAACCGCAACCAACACCCAATTTAAACCATACCTTCAAAATTGGAAAACCCACCACAGTCGGAACCACCTTCGTACAACCTGCACCATTCGAACAAGGTATGATAAGAATGAAAATTCTGATTTGCACCAATTGTGTTTAGATTTTTTGGTTCGATCAGAACCCGCTTCTCCGATCTAAATCTCTATCATCTTCGATTTATAAGTTTACGGTTTAGTTTGGTTTCATTTGCAGGTTCAGGTTTCATTTTTTTAGGTTTGAGTAATGACCGGTGGTGATTGCAGGAGGTGCTAGTAGTCTATGAGACAAAGTGAGAGAGATGACCGATTAAATTCAAAGAAGTAGAAAGGAAATTGGGGAAAGGATCAATCGCAACTTACTTCTCTCTTTTCGATCTTCTAATTTGCTGCAAGTTGAGAACAATTAAAACGAGAGGCGACTTAGGGTTAAGTGGAGATATGAGATGGTGGTGGTGATTATGGTGTTGTTGATGATTCCACCGGTGATGGTGGTGCTGTTGATGATTCCATGTACAGTTCCTTCTTGAGTTCTAGGGTTTGATAGAGGCGATTGGAGGAGGATAAAGATCGACTGGTCCGATTTTGGTTTATCGCATTTGGGTGAAGGTGAAGGTGGGGCTGATGGGGCTTCGTCGGCGTTGGGAGTGGCCGAGAATGGGGGACAAAAGGTAGAGGAATACGTAGGAGGGGGAACCGGGGAGGAGTGGGTTCATGTATGTTTATTTATTGTTTCTTTCTTTTTTTTAATCTAAAAATAATAAACAAATAAGAAGAAAAATAAATAAGAAATAAATAAGGGCAAAATGGTCTTTTTATGTCCAGATGGACGAAACGTGCACGTTTTAAACGAACGAGGGACGGTCCGAGTTAATTTTTGAAAATAGGGACTAAACACGTTTTCTGGCATGTGCACAAGGGACGAATGGTGTAATTTACCATATTTTTTTCTAACAATCTAACAATACCTATAAACATATGTATTAAAATTATAATTAAAAAAAAAAAAAGACAAAACTTCAAAAATGGTCCTTGTGGTTTTCGAAAATATCAAGTTTAGTCCTTAAGTTCAAAAAACCTTACAGATGGTCCCTGTGGTTTCAAAACTTTTAACAAATGGTCCTTTTCGCTAACTCCGTTAACTTTTGACCGTTAAGTGAAGGGCATTTATGTCTTTTCACTATTATAGGGACCATTTTTGAAGTTTTGCCCTTATTTAAATATATATATATATATATATATATATTATTTAATATTAAAGGTCTCTCTCTCTCTCTCTCTCTCTCTCCATTCCAAAAATCAAAAACCCACCATTCCAATTCATGTCTAAGTTCATGTTCGTCATTTCAAAAAATCAACAACTAGTAATCAAGAATCATAGTTCTTCAAGAGAAGAAGTATAACCCAATTTATATCTTTGTGCACTTATGATCAAGTTTGTTGTTTTGGGTTAGAGAAAAAAGGATCCCATTCATGAGCACCCACAGTCTCCTCTACTTATTCTTCTTCTAACAACGCATTATTCCAATTAAGTTTTTCAATAAAACCACCTGCTGGTTGTCGAGGCCAACACAAATAATAACCCTAAATATTACACACTAAAATAGTGTATAGTGGTAAAGGGATCGAATCCACGGAGATTGGTTCAATTTATAACTCTATGAAAAAAAATCTCTTTGTAAAAATACATGTACAATGACAATAAATATAAAATGGGGGTTGGTGTTTTGAAACACTTGAAACAAACTAGAATTAACTATGATTTAAATAGACAAATGCAACAAAAATAAGAGTTTGATGTAAAATCAATAAGGGAGAGAAGGTTGACTTAAAGTTTCCTCACTTTGACTTTTGATGAACATATCATTAGAATCCAATGGTGCAATACTTTGATTTAAATCCTTAATTTGGCTATAGTAATCCAAGGAGCTTGAGATTACCTAGACTTTTCTTAATTGTTGAAATGGCTAGAGAAGCTCATAACAATTTCCTTAGTCAAAGTCACTAATTCCAAATAGCATGTAATTAGTGAAAGTCAACTAGCATTAAGAACCAAAAAGTCACCAAATCCAAGAGGGGTCAAATGCTTTCACCACCATGTTGGAGGAAATGTTTTTATGATTGTGTGAAGCAAAAACAACACAAAAATCATTTGTTGCTTGCTAATTTGAGGATCCTTTACTTAATCAAGAAATTAGCCAACTAATCACCACAAACACATTTAAACTCATGAACTAAAACATACAAGTAATGATAAGATGTTAAAACACAAAACATTCCCATAAAGATTCAAGAACATGTTCATGGATTCTTCAACATTCAACAAAAGTTCAAAGGATTAACCAAAAGTCAACCAAGATTAGCTTAGCCAAGCATGGCTAAACCCAAAGAAACAAAGTTAGAGAAAATTGTACCAAACATTAAGCAAGAATCAAGAGGTAAAAATATGATGTTCTTCAAGGGTTCTTGGCCTTCAAAAGTCTTCAAAACTCCAGAGAGAATCTCCAAAAATCGGATGTCTAAGAGTCTCAAAAGATGGGCACCAACCTTCCTCAAATAGCCTTCCAAATGGATTTCCGAAATTACCCCTGCAGAGCCTTGCGCGACCCGCGTGCTGCTGCGCGGGTGGTGCCTGACATGGGCTTCTTTGAGATTTTGGGCCTCCGAAGCATATCCCACTAGCCCAGATCGAATCCAATCACCTCCTAGCCCATTTTCTTCAAGTTTTTCTTCATTTTAAGCCCAATTTGACCTCTCCAAATCCTCCAAAGCTCGTGAACTCGCCCGATTAATAATCTACGTACGCTTGAATATTCCCCCGCATCTTGCAAATTTAAAGTTTATTTCTCTCCAAGCCTTCAAATAATCATCAAGATCACTCCATGCATCATCTCCACTACCCATCAAGCCCAACATCATTTTTGTCTACCAAATCTCATCGCCTCCCATACGTCCCGAACACTCCCGCTCCGCTAGACCCGAAAACCTGCAATTATGCTCACAAGATTCGAAAGTACCCGAAATAGTCATAAAATAACAAAAAGGAAAATATGCATGGAAATTATCTAAATTATGAATGAAATATGCTAAAATAAACTATAAAAAGAAGTAAACAAAACTAACTATCAAATCACCCCAAGCTTAAACCTTACTTGTCCTCAAGTAAGACAAGACTAAAATGAACTCGGGATGAACTATCCTAAGAAAATAAAAAGAATTGATAGAACCGTAGAACCTGATCCCCGTTAGTCAACATGGTCAGAATTGATCTTGCTATTACCTCACGAATTTTTCATCCGATGACAATGGAACCATAAACCACACCCAGGACAACTCCTTTAGGTGAGTAAGGAGGGATGAGCAGTCGCAGCCTCAATGGAACATGCATACAATGAAGAATATCTGTAGTAGGGAGAAAGCAGCTGGATGGGCTCGGGTGGAGCTCTTCTTTAAGTGTACACTCTGATCTCACATTTGCCGGTTTCTCTCATGTGTAACTAGGTTTAATCGCTCGGGCACCGTTGTAGGAATCGATTCACTTGGTGTTGGCCCAAACCTCCCGTAGTATCCGACTCGACAGTCTCCCTAACATCACCAATTTGCGAAAAACAACTCGATCTATATACAATAAAACATACCTAAATAAATGAATATCAAACGCCGGGTGACCAAAATGTTAGAAAATTTAGTTCAATAATTGAACCGGTCACCCTTCTCAGATTTCTGCAGCTGGGAATTTGTCTGCACACCATTTTTTTTATTTTTTATTTATTTTTTTTTTTTTTTTTATTATTTATTTTTTTATGTAATATGTACCATACTTGAAGGTAATGTAATAACAACCCTTTGACTCAACATTTGGTTCCTAAAGTGTGTAAGTGGAACCGAAAGGGTAGTAATATAATCCGAATGGTCTAAGCGAGAAAATGACCATGTGTGGAGCATAAAGATATAATGTAAGCTCCTCTTCCAATTTGTGATATATATATATATATATATATATATATATATATTCAAAAATAACGAAATTGTCCACATGCGGACTAAAAGACTTCTCTAAAATCCTAAGAAAATCGCAAAAAGATATGGTGATGTAAAAAGACTGGATATGGATTCTACTCGGGGACAAGCACTAGTGCTTCATCCTAACGGTTCAAACATGATCAAGTGTGATCCTCTCGGCGGTAGTGACCGCAAGGCTAAGACATCCATTGCTATAGTATATCCTACAGTCATTAGTATTGTATGCATAATTCTTCATGAAAACTACCTGTCCATGATCACTTACCCCTTTAAGCTACCAGCATCTGATCC